GTCTGATTCCCATCTACAAACGGAGTCCACCTCTGTGGACTACAGATCAGAAATGTTTTGAAGAAGCTCCAACACGTGTTATTCTTAGTATCAAAAAGACTGAGCATCTTCCACGCCTTGGTTAAGGGCCATCTGCACTACTCTTTCTGTAAACTGTTTTTCTATAAGTCACCCATTTTTTATCCTGAACGCCCAGCACAAGGCCCTTGGCGCATGAGCAATGCATACCTGCTGAATGAACAGGACCCAACAGGCAAAACTCGAGGGTGGACATCCCGTGCATTCGCCTAAGCTGACAGCCTGGCCCTTCCACGTGCACATCAACAACCGCGTACAATGTGGGCGTTGTGCGGGGCTGTGTGCACCTCGGGGCTTGCCTCGAACAACGCCCCCCCCACTCCTCCTCTGTGCCCATTGGGTCCTGGATGACAGGAATGGGGAGACCCCAGCTGACCACAGGCCATGGTTCAACTGAAGTAGATGTGGGCTGGTGTTGACCAGAAAAAAACTAAAAATCAATCAATCTGTTGAGCTGACTTATACCCCACGACATAAAGCACATAAGCTGACATATTCATAAATTTTAAAAAATAATTACTCAAGGGCCGGCCGAGTGGCGCGATGGTTAAGAACTCGCTTGGGATGCCAGAGGGCCCCGGTTCGGATCCCACATATGAGGGACAGTGACACTGCCCTCCACAGCTAAGATGCTGAACAACAGCTCAACCTGGAGCTGGGCTGCCGTGAGTCGCCGGCGACGGCGTAGGCTGCAGCCCCTGTGGCAGTGGATTGCCATGGGCTACCGTGTGTGGCCAGCAGCCACCGTGAGCGGCCGTCCAGAAGCCGGCGACTGATCTGCCTCACCCGGGAAGAGCGCAATGATGGTGCCAACTTGGGCCAGTGAAGCAACGTCCTCCACAACTAGACTGAAGAACAAAAAGACAGCAACTTGTCTGTTCCCCTTCCCCCAATTCCCCAGCGCTGTTCCCATCCCCCCAATTCCCCAATAAAAATCTTTAAAAAAAATAAAAATAAAAAAATAATAATTACTCAAGGGTGTTTTTTGGCCTAACATTGACCGTCACATGCCATGACTATTCACAGGCCATCCTTTCCCATCAAACCCCTTCACACAGCAAGGCCTTAAGGAACACCGAGGATGGTTTCCGGAAGTTCCCTTCTGAATACCCAAACTGACAGCTTGTCATGCTATGGCTGCCTCTTCCCTGCTGGCCCTGTGACAAGGAAGGATGAGGTTTCATTCATTCAGCAAGTACTTACTGCTCAGACCATGTACTTCTGAGTTAACAAAGGGCCAGGCAAAGGTAGGGGCACCCAGCCTTGGACCTTGGAGAGCCCTAAGCCAGCCTACTGTCTTCAGACAATGCCCTGGGCTGCAGGATGAGGGACGGTCACTCACCCCCCTGGGGCTGCAAGTAAGGCCTTTTCCAGATACAGTAAAACCTTGGTTTGCGAGCATAATTTGTTCTGGAAACATGCCTGTAATCCAAAGCACTTGTATATCAAAGCGAATTTCCCCATTAGAAATAATGGAAACTCAGAAGAGTTGTTCCACAACCCAAAAATATTCATATAAAAATGATTACAATGCTGCAATACAAAATAATAATGAAAATACAAAATATAAAGAAAAACAAATGAATTAACCTGTACTTACCTTTGAAAACCTTCGTGGCTGGTGTGAGGGAGACAAGAGAGAGGAAGATTGCTGTGTAGGGCTGTCACTATGGCTAACGGAATCACTGCTATCTATTGGCTCAATGGAATCTTTTTCTTTTCGTGCAACTTTAACAAGGAACCTATCCGATGACACTTGCTTTTGCCTCCTTTTGAGGATTTCGCAGAAATGGGACATTGCATTGTCGTTAAACAGATTCATCGCTCGCACTGCTACCACCTTGTCCGGGTGGTGCTTTTCTACAAAATTTTGCACTGTTTCCCACATTTTACACATCTCCCTAATCTCATTTGAAGTGAGGGATTCCACCGCCTTTTTCTCCTCCTCTGCAGATGAAAACTCCTCCATAACCTCTTGCTGTTGCTTGTGACGCAGATCCATCAGTTCGTCGGTAGTCAGCTCCTGGCCATGTTCCTCCACCAGCTCTTGAATGTCGTCCTCATTCACCTCCAGCCCCATGGTCTTCCCCAAGGACACAATTTCATTGACAACTGGCGGCTCCTGTTCATGAGCAATCCCCTCTAAGTCATGTCCAAGAACGCAATCAGGCCACAGTTTTCTCCAAGCAGAATTGAGGGTTCTCTTGGTGATCCCATCCCAGGCGTCCAAACTCGCAGCCTCTCCATGCCTCACAACACTATGAATGCCACTTCTCCTCTTAAAGTTATCAAACCATCCCCTGCTTGCCTTGAAGCCTTCTTCGTTTCCTGTTGACGTACCTGGCAGTTTACTTACGAGGTTGGTGTACAAGGCCTTTGCCTTCTCGCAGATAAAGTTCTCGGTCACAGTATCACCTGCTAGTAGCTTCTCATTTATCCAAACCAGAAGCAACCTTTCTACATCTTCCAGAACACGTGGCCGTTGCTTTGATATTCTCGTGACTCCTTTTGCTGCATCTAGCCCCCTTATTTCTTCTTTCTTCTTTAATATTGTGCAAATGGTCGACGTAGGCTTCTTATAAAATCTTGCAATTTCGGCCACTCGCATACCTTGTTCGTACTTCTCAATGATTTCCTTCTTAACTTCCACCGTAATCATCTTCTTCTTACCGCCTTTCTTTTCAACCTTTTTCTGCATGTGGGCCATTGTATACACTCGCACGGATGTTGACTACAGTACAGTATTAATAAACTCTTGTCATATACTGTATTTAATGTAACTGGCAATGAGGCAGCAGAGGAAAGGGTCTATATCTTCAGTCAGCCTGACCTAGAATGAAGCAAAGCATTCCTAAGCTTACTCTTGTATGGAAAAGCAAAGAACTGTCCATAGGTGCTTTGAAGTGACAAAAAATACACTAGTGCCAGTTGTGGGCACCTTCCAAAGTTCTGAAAAAATCGCTGATTTCTGCCAAACACCGCAGCCTGAGACCGATCATCTGAGCATGGGAGATGATCACCCACAATCCCGCAGCGAGAGAGAGAGAACCACCATTGGCTCAGTTGTGATGTGACATTCAGCGTCACATACTACTTGTATTGCAAGACATTGCTCATTTATCAAGTTAAAATTTATTAGAAATGTTTGCTTGTCTTGCAGGACACTCGCAGAACAAGTTACTCGCAATCCAAGGTTTTACTGTACCAAGTTCCATGATTTTTAAACGCTAATGTCTACAGAGAGCCTGTTGCCAGCCAAGTGCCAGACCCACCCACTTCATGGCCGCCCCATTACACGCTGCCACCAGCACCAGGTAACAAGCATCGTCAACACTGACGATCCTCAACTAGTTCTAGGAAACCGGCATAGACTCTTGAGTGACTTGTTGTCTCCAAAGAGCTCTAGGGGCCTCGGGCAGGGGTGGGAGGCATAAAATGCTGCAACCACCATGACAACAGTCTGAAGTTCCTCAAAACGTTAAACACAAGAGTTACACATGACCTGGCAATTCCACTCTTATGTATATACCCAAAGGGGCTAAAAACACATTTGCACAAGTTTGTGTATACAAATGTTCATAACAGCACTATTCATAATCGCCAAAAGGTAGAAACAGACCAAATGAATACATAAACAAAATGTGGTCCATACTTGCAATGGAATATTCAGCCATAAAAATGGATGAAGCACTGATTCATATTACAAAGTGAATGAACCTCAAAAACATTACATTGAGTAAGTGAAGTCAAACAAACACACAAGGTCACATGTTGTATGACTCCATTGATATCAATGTTCAGAAGAGGCAAATCCATAAACACAGAAAGTAGATTAATGGTTGCCAGGGGCTGGAGGAGGGGGATGGGGAATGTCTGCTAATAAGGATAGGGTTTCTTTTTGAGGTGATGAAAGTGGTCTTGGTCTAGAACCAGACAGAGGCTCTGCACCACTCCTGAATACATAAAAAAACTCACTGACTTGTATACTATAAATGAATGAATTGCATGGTATGCAAATTATATTTCAATTAAAAACATTTTAAACACCAGTAAAGTCTGTTTTTATTATAACATTCTGGAAATGTTTTCCTGACACCAGGATTACTTGACCATGCCCATGCTTTCTTCCTATAGGCAGATAAAAGCTGAAACTTCACAAAACCGACCCCTACCGTTGTCATACTGCGCTCAGCCCAGCGGGCAAGTCGAGCAGTCGGTTCTCACCCATGCAGCTGTGACGCTGTTTAGGACACGCACCCCTCAGCAAGTCACCTGCCACTGGACTGTAAGAAGCAGCAGCTGACCAACCCAGGAGTTCTCCAAACTGCCTCCTAGTCCTAAGATGACTCTCAGTTCTACGTTCTTCTCCAGGTAGGCAGCCCTAAGCCAAAACGTCACTAGCTGGGCCCTGATGGCAACAGACAAAATGCCACCTAGATGGCAGGCTCTGCCTACTGGGTCCCAAGAGCCCTTGACAGAGCCTAAGTGGGGGAAGGAGGGGGCTCAGTTTCCCCAAAAACACAGGGCAAGGTAAGGACGTACAGCTTCAAGCACCAGTGCAGGGCCCTGCAACACTAACGGTAGTTAAGGAAAAATTCTACCTGTTCTGGTTTGCATTGGGAAATCACAGAAATGGCCTGAGGGCAAAGGCCACCTGGCCAGGATTATCCGCTGCCCCTGATCCTCACAGAGGACAGCTCATCGTGAGTGACACCTAAAATACTACAGGAGGTGGGCAGGGCCTGGGTGGCCCTGTGGAGACAGTCCAGCACATAATCCTAGAGGGACTTGCCTCCCTCCATCTCCTCTAGGAGGTGACCATCGGCTTCTGAAGCATGCTGTTTCAAATGTCCAAGGAGCTGAAGGAGGCCCACTGGACAAGTCAGAGCCTTCATTACCGATACGAGACCCGAAGCACTCACCTGGCTTCTGGGCATGGGACACTGGTCCTACCAGCTGGCCATGGTGGCAGCTACGTCAGAAGGCAACTTGCGTCAACGTGCTGATCAACCTAAAGTGAAGGGCAGAGAAAGAAACATGAGTTTCCAAGGAGTTTTTGGAACATTCCGGCAGTTTTAAATGTCTCCAAACCCTGGGATTACATAGTAAAATTTTAGATTTCAACCAGAGCTCTGCCTCTGCTACCTTCCACGGGGCCGGCTGAGGAAATATCTATCACTCTCTGACCTATGACCTGATGCAGTGCTAACCAATAAACACTAGCACTACAGATGCCGTCTTCAGCAATATGGATGGAGACATGAGGTGGTACACAGCCACACACCAACATGCCAAACACACAGAAGATGGTTCAAGCTTTTGATTATAACACTAATGACATTAATAGCAAAAACAGTAATACCCAGCATTTAATAGGTGCTTAGTAGTGAGTTCCAGGTACTATGCGTAAAACTCAGTATCTTTATGAATCCCCAGGACAATCTTGGGAGCAGTTTACAGGGCCACCCAGGTCTCCCTCTCCAGACATGGCTTCTTTGCTCCCTGATCTGTGTTCCCTAGCATAGGCCCCAAGGAAATCTCCACTATGCAGGCAGTGCAGGGTTTGCCCTCAGAAGTTGAGGTTGTGATATGCCTGGGACAGGCACACCTCACCTTCCAAATGGAGGTGGCTTCACCTCTGTGGGACAACTCCCAGTTTTACTCCAGAGATCTTCTCAGAGCTTAAACTACCCAGGAAGACAGGGGATGCCTGTTTTACAGGCAGGAAAATTAAGGCTCAAGAATGTTCGGAAACTGTCCCAAGGTCACAGAGACAGCTGGCTCCAGGATTTCCCCTTCTTTGTAACATCAGACATCTTGGGCTCCAAGCACATAGGCTGAACCCAGTGAACCAGACAAATCCTTCACTCCCAGGCAGTGCTGTCAGTCGTAGCTCGTGGAATATTGTCAGTATCACCTCTGTTGTCATTCTTTGTGCCCACATGACTACAAGGAGCTTGCTCTGATATGAAACCTTTATTTTTAAACTGGGTTCACAGCAATTCACACACACCTCATGAATAGCAAGAAACACTCCCACAGGAGAACTTGCAAAATAAGCAAATATCAGTGAACTCTAACTCTATGGAAAGACCTTTGGGCACCAAGGAGCATATAGCATCCTCTTCAATGAGGCCCAGGGCCAGCTGTGGCCACCACCAGGGCTAGCTCCTAGGAGGGTCTTTGGCCTCATCCAGGCTGGGAAATGCAGTGGACATCATTAATCCTAGTTCTTTCATACCTCCTGAGCCGTGGGCTCTCTCTGCCATGGAGGGGGAAGCCTCAGAAACGGTGGCCCTGGGCTTTCTGAGCACCTTCTCTCTTCAGGATCAAGGTCAATACACAAAAGTCAGCAGTATTTCTATACACTGGCAACAAACAACCAGAACTCAAATCTTTAAAACAAAAATTCATTTATAATACCATAATGTGAAATACTTAAGGATAAATTCAATTTTTGAAAAACTGCAAGACCTATAAACTGAAACTACAATACATCCCTGCAAGAAATGAAAGAAAACCTAAATAAATGGAGAAATAGGTCTTGTCCTTGGGTCAGAAGGTATGAACTCTCCCCTCCAAATTGATCCACAGATCAATGCCTTCCCAATAAAAAATTCCTGACATAATTTTTTGTGGAAACAAGTTGATTCTAAAATTTATATGGAAATACAAAGGACTCAGAATAATAAAAACAACACTGAAAAAGAGGAACAAATTTGGAGGGCTTACCTTACCTGAACTTAAGAATTACCATAAGGCTACAGTAACCAAGACAGTGTGATATGGACATAGACAGACATGTAGATGGATGAACAGAATACACCCATGCACATGTGGACAACTGATTTTCAACAAAGATCCAAGTATCCTACTCCATGAGGCAATAAGACACACTGGACAACATTTCCTGGAGGGTTAACCTTAACCTGCAAGAAGGAAGGTCATCGTAATCTGTTATCACAACACACACAGTGCATCAAGGGTAGAGTGCAACAGGCAAGAAGTTTTAAGGTCACCTCAGACCTTCACGCTCCACCACAGCTTTCCCCATTTATGTTCATGGCACATCCACAATCTTCTAGCCGCTCAGATTAAAATCCGGAGTTGCCCTCTTCATCGGACTACCTACTCTCCAGTCCAGCAGGAAATCCTGTTGGTTCTGCCATCAAACACATCCAGGGTCCAACTGCTTCCCACACCTCCACTGGATCCCCTGCTTTCACTCCTCAGCTCGAAACCCTCTGAAGGCCTGCGTTCATGTAGAATGAAACTCTGTCCTCTCCTGGCCTTGGAGGCTTGCCTGCTGCCGCGTGCCTGCTTCATCCTGCTCCAGCCATGCTGGCCTCCTGACCATGCCGCCTCCAACACACCAGGCACCCACTCACCCTGGGGTCTTATGTTTTAAACAAAATTCCAGATACTTTATCATTTTAACAATCAAGTCTTCAATTTGCATCCCAAATTGAAAAGGACCTTTGAAAATATAGCTACCATACAATAGTCCCTAAATGTCAACAAATGCCCAGTCCATATTTATTTAGTTCACATAGTTTCTCAGAAATGTCTGTATACGGCCTGCTCTAATGGTAGTTGCTAGAGCATCTGTGCTCCCTCTGCCTCCGTCACTCTCTCCCCAGATGGCTGACCCCTCCATGTCCCGCTGCTCAAATGTCTCTCTTGCAGAGGCCCACCCTGCCTTTCTCTCCCATAGCCCTGGCCTCTCCGCACCTTCCACACAAGGTCGCTACTGTGTCTATGGACTTTCTCACCCAACAAAAACGTAAATGCCACAGGAAAAGAGGTGTCTATCTGCCTGATGCCTGATTTTATTCCAGCACCTAAAATAGTGTCAGACCACACCAAGTGCTCGATAAATATTAATGGAATGAATGAGCCAGGATGGTTTAACATTGAAGAAGGAACCAATCTGAGGAGCAGCAGCCCCTCAGATACAATTACTGTGAAATTCACAAAGGAGCAGCAACCAAGCAGAGACTACTTAGCACCATGAAAACTGGGAGCATTTCTCTAAAATAAACTGTAATCTCTTTTCACTGATATATCATTTGGACTGTTTTGCCATCCACCCTGCACTGGCTGGATTTAGAGAGCTTTTACTGTTTTTATTTCCAACCCATACATTTAAAACAGTATCAAGTAACCCTTAAGTACACAATTACCAACACATAAGAGACTCTTCAGATCCCTTGATAAATCATTATGGTTTGGCTTTAACCCTGCACCTGGGTAACACACACACACACACACACACACACACACACACACACCCTCCGCGACCCACCCCAAAGTAACAATTTCCCAGTCTGAGAGAGATCACACTTGGTGAGTGGGCAGCCATGGTGATTTACATGAAATCAAGCCACTGCACTTTAGGCAACAGAAGTCCTTTGTTGCCATTTCATCCTCTTGGGCTCAGGCAAGTAAGGTCGGTTCCCTTTTAACTTGAGGGGTGGAGCTGTGGCCAGACATTGGCTGCTGTCTGGGGAGCTCCGGTTCCGAGGAGATGCTCAGGTTGCAGCACCCGTGGCCAGAGCAAGGACAGGTCTCTGGGGCCATGGGCACCTGACCTGCAAGCCTGGGCTCTCCAAGGCACCCTTAAAGAGGGCCCATCGTCCCTACTGAGGCTCAGCCCTATGGAAGCTGCATATCTCCGGTCTCCTCCTACACCATCTGCACTCCCCAAACACTTGTGCTGTCTCTAAAATTCTTCAACTGTGTCTGCACCCAAATATTTACCACCCTGGCTCCAATCCAGTCCTGGGAACATGACATTAGGCCAAAAAACTCCAAGGTGAAAGCCAACAATATGTTCACCTTTTCCCACCTCTAGGTCCGCAAAGTCCACTTTTTCTATGCAAACTGAGTGCCCCTGAAGACAAGCGTAATCTAGACCCTCTCTGCCAATAGTCTTAGCAACTGCACTGCCAAACCCTCAAGAAAGGGAACTTCCTGGTCAGCCCTATCAGAAAGGGAGAAACTGAGGCAGGGCAACAGTGAAGCATCTCAAGGAATCCCAGAGGTCACAGTGTTCCAACACGTGCTGGCTGGTTGGGGAACGGGTTGACTTGGACCAAAGACTTGGTTTTCTAATCTGGGTCAGCAAACTATTGCCTGGGCCTGTTGTGGTGAATGGTTTTCCTGGGACATAGCCACACCCACCCGAGTGCACAATGTCTACAGCTGCTTCACCTACAAAGCAGAGCTGAGTAGCAATGACAGAGACAGTACAGCCCCAAAAGCCAAAAATATTGACTACATGTTCTTTGAAAGCAGGAGGAAACAGCAGCCCTGATGGGCTGTGCTAAGTATTAAAGAGATAGAGGTGACCCAGGCACGGTGGCATACTCGAGACAAACTTAGGGCAGAGGCACACCAAGGAAGGCTCCAGCTCCGTGTCAGCCCCTGGGGACAAAGCAGTACCTGCTCTCCCCAAGGTACAGAGCCTATTAACCCGAGAGAGCAAGGGAGAGCATGACTCGGCAGACTAGAAGCAAAGAACCAGCCCCATGAGGGCCACAGAACCCACGGCAAGGCCACACAAGCCCATCCTTGGCAACCAGAGCTGGTCTGTCTCCACTGTCAAGCCAAGGCATCCACTGGGGTAACAGCCAGTATGTGTCCTCCAGGCCCCTGCTCTACTCCTGCTTCTTCTCCCTCAGCCACAGTAATCATGGCCTCACTGAGGGACGGATTGTCCACTCCCTGCACTGCACCAATGAGGCCATTCCTAAAGCCCTTAATTCCCCCTTTCCCGCAATGCTCACAACATGGTCTTCAAGGCCCCGCCTGCTTTAGGCCCAAGTGACCCTATGAAGTCATCTGGCATACACATACATAGGAGTACACACACACCACACTCCTGGCTCCAAGAACACTGGCCTTGTCTCAATTCTTCAGACTCACCACACCTGCCTGCCTCCACCATCCAGCCTTTGCACATGCTGTTCCCACTGCCAGGAAAGCCCTTCCTTCTTCCCACCCATCCTT